GTGTCAGGTCAATGCCAAAGTCTGATTGATTGGTTGATTGGAATTCGGGTGGACATAACATGGGATTTCGGTTGCAAAACCAAAAGATTTTTTTCTTCGGGCTCATCATTTCTGCCCCTCCCACTCATCCGGCTCATAAACCTACACAAAATGTCGCGTTTCGTTTTATTTTCCAATGAGTCATAAAGTAAGAGGGGACTGGTTGACTGAGGGTATAGTATAGTCTCGTTTTACCGGTGGAAAAACTCAAAAAAAGTTGCGATCAAAATCTCCAGCTCAATATTTAGAAAAGAAATGAAATGAAATGGGGTTTAACGTCCTACTGTTCTGCTCCGACTGGGCTAATGAAGACGGACATGCGCCATACAGTGTACTATGAGGGCAATTGTACAGTCTTCACGTTGTCGGGCACGTAAAAGAAGCCATGACAACTGGAATTCGAAATAAAAGTAGGCCCCTCATTGCAGTCGGTGGTGATAAGTAAGACGTTAAATTTCATTTCATTTCACTTTGTCAAGTTTCAAAAGGACACCACGGTTGTTCAGTTGGTAGGACGTTGTCTTGCTCACCTGGAGGTCTCATTATCGTTGACCGAGAAAGTTCATCGTTTTTTTCCGACGTATTTCCTCCTTGTCAGTGGTACAGACAAGTGGCAACGTACAGTCGTTCTGATTGGATGACTATCCGAGGACCCTTGTACACATTGGCGGGGACCTTAAAGAAACCTTGACAATTGGAATTCGAAATAAGTGTCAACTCCGCTGTACGGGCAAAATTTCACTTATAACACACTGTTTGTCGTATATTCCCATCTTCATTAGCCCAGTCGGTGCAGAACAGTAGGACGTTAAACCTTATTTCATATCATTTCACTTGTCTACCTTGAACTTCACCACCCCTGCATTGGCCGAGAACGTTCATCCAGATTTTCCGGCGTGGTTTCCCCTTGTCAGTGGCGCAGGACGGGGGGGGGGGGGGGGGAGTGCTGACAAGGACAGCTGTCTAGTCGTTCGGATGGGACGAAAAACCGAGGTGCCGTGTACAAATTGGCGTGCACGTAAAAGATCCCCTGGCAGTTGGAATTCGATATAAGAGTAGGCTGTAGCGCCGCAGTCTGGGCACAATTTCCCTCATATCACACTTTATGACGTATGCCCGTCTTCATTAGCTCAGTTAAGGAGCAAAACAGTAGCACGTTAAACCCCATTTCATTTCATTGTTTTTCCTGATCAGTTTGTTTTATCTGAAATAGAGAAAAAATATTTCTAAATGTTTGAAATGAAATCAAGATTAATGTCCTACTGTTCTGTTCTGACTGGGCTAATTAAAATGGGCATATGTCATACGGTGTGCTATGCAGGAAATTATGTCCGGACAGCGGCCTACTCTGATTTGGAATCAAACTGACAAGTGTTCTTTTATAGGCTCCCCCCGTCCCCATTCTGCACCAGTGACTAGGGGGAACCCTGTGGAAAATCCATGTGAACTTTCTCGGCCAGTGTAAATCGACTGGTCTTGTCCAATATCTGCTACTGCACCACACACAAGACACAGAAATCACAATTTACAACAAATGTACACAGGCCTGCCTGGAAATAACGGTTTTACGTGTACCTGACAAAATGTCAGGCACTAATGAAAGAGTACATGTACCTGACATTTTCAACTTAGCGCCGGACATGTATTAATAATATCAATAAAAAAGACAAATCAGTGCCAGACAAAATGACAGGCATCAGAGGTTTAGTGTCTGACAAAGCCTGAATCGGTGCCTGATATTGTCAGTGACAGGTGCCTTATAGTCCAGGAGCTAATGACAAAATAATATGGTCATCAGTTACAAAAGGTTTGAACACCCAAATTCGTAGCAGGTGTCCGTACGAGTAAAAATCAGTTGGTCGGATCGGGCACTGGTGGGGCGTATAGCCGCAGCAGCACCTTAAAGTAGGCCTAAAATTAAGTCATAAGTTACATGGCTGAAACTTTGTAGGGACAATGGTATCCATAGTCGGAGTAAATATTTCACAAATCTAACCCAAATTTCCGGGGCTTTCCCCAAGTCAGACCACACCCAATATCGCCTCGTGGGGCTAATAATATGGTCATCAGTTACATGGCTGAAACTTACCAGAAACAAAGATCCACACTTGGTAAATACAATTTTCAAAAATCTAACCAAAAATTTGGGGGCTTTCCCCAAGTCAGATCGCTCTAAAGTATGTCCGACCACACCCTAAAAATGGGGCTTTTTATATGGTCACAAGTTACATGGCTGAAACTTACTGGAAACAAAGATCCATACTTGGAAAACATATTTTTCAAAAATCTAACCAAAAATGTTGGGGCTTTCCTCAAGTCAGATGGTCCTAAAGCCCACCTGGCCACGCCCTAAAAATGGGACTTTTTATATGGTCATTAGTTAAATGGCTGCAACTTACCAGAAATATTGTTCCATGCATGGAAAATGTATTTTTCGAAAATCTAACCAATTATGTGGGGCTTTCCCCAAGTCAGAAGGGCCTTAAAATTGCAGCTCCACCCACCCCCTCTATATAAATCATCTAAAAATATTTACATTTAAAATTAAAAAACAGTGTAGTTTTATGGTTTATAACTTGGATCTGGCAGTTCCCATGGTAATCATTAGAACAGTTTATCTCTGTGCCACCAACAATGAACTTTTTTATCTCATAATATAAATGAGAGAGAGACAGAGAGAGAGAGAAATGAGGTTTAACATCCACTCGACACAAACTAGGTAATTTCGGGACAAACATATATGGTTTAATTTTATGTCAATAATTCGCTTGCGCGTAGGGGTCTTTAGTAGTGGGAGGAAATCTGAGGACCCGGAGAAAACCCACGAGGTTGGCGAGCGACCCTACTCCTTGTCACGTACAACTGGGGACTCGAAACCACGCCAGTTGACTCAATGACAGACCTTATGATACAACACGCACACGTTAACTGTTCGGCCATCCAGCTCCCCTGTACAGTCCCTGGACTGTAGTGATGCAGACAACAGATTTCCTCAAAATGAAAAAGATAGGTTACCAGGCAACGAAAGATACGCCCACAGCAGCTAAATCATCCGGGCAGTCACATATTTTTACTTTTTTTAGTAATGAAACAATTATAATACACTAATATCCGATTAAGAGTAACAACTCATCAATTAATTATTAGAAAATCATTAAAATTTGTTTGGTTTGAATGAAGTTCTGCCCCATGCTAACGTTTAGTATACGAAACATTTAATATCATGGATTTAGCTGTTCAAGTTATCAAAATTCATTGAAAATCAATATACTTGTTCATCTCAAGGCCTTAAACTGAAGCCAATCCGATGATAACTTTAGCCTCTAGAAAGTCACAAGATGTTTCAAAGTGATCAAGGGTCATAACTTTGGCAGTAATTATCAGAAATGTTGAAAATCAATAGGATTCTTCGTCTCATGACCTCAAATAATGCGCGTAAATTTGAAGTCAATCCGATATCATCTTTAGCTTCTAGAGCATCTACAAGATATTTTGAAGTGATAAAGGGCCATAACTCTGGCAATAATTATCAGAAATTGCTGAAAATCAATAGGCTTCTTTGTCTCATGACCTTAAACAATGTGTATAAATTTAATGTCAATCGGATATTTACTTTGGCCTCTAGAGCGTCCATAAGCAATTGTGGACGCCGGACCGACGAATGGGCGGACGGACGGGGTGACACAATTGAATATATGACCAAAAGTTATATAAAGCCAGTACGAGTCATGATCGACTATATGCTACATGAAATATTTAGGCACATTGAAGGTATTAACGGCTCTTTATAAATCATATTTCGTTTCATGTTTTTTAATAGTACAAAATTTTGTTTTCTTTTCTTTACTACACTGGAAGAGTTGTTATGTAACAGGCGTTCTAGTTGATGTGAGAAATTAGCTAATGAAGCGGTCTGTTACGGCGAGTTCTTGGCGTGATCTTCACGGAACTGTGGGTAAACCCCTAGAAAGGTTAAAGCTGATTGATTAATCAATGTCTTTCATAGGGTCAAAAGCCGTTTGTATGACACCTGACATGACCTCCCAGTACAACTGGTCAGATCTTCATGTAGTGTAAGCCGATTCCTCTGCCCCCTCTCCAAAAAATCCATCCGCGCATGTGAATTATTGAAATATAATTGAACCAAGTGTTAGTCCCGAAATGAACAATTATGTGAAATTTACAAGGAGCCAAATTAAATCTAAAAGGCGTATGTAGTAGTCATTTTTGGTGTATTTAAGGAAATTCATTTTTAATATTAATTATGCAAAATATATGTAAACAGGGAAGGGATTGCGGGCGAATTCTGATATTTTGAAAGTGAATTCTGGTGTTTATATGTTTTTAAAAGTAAATTCCGGTGATCATCGGTGTTTTTAAGTTATTTATTATTATTATTACCATGGCAAATCTAGTTTCATTTTGTTAGCACAGTTTTATTTATTTGGTCACAGACCACTAAAGATTTCCACATTCACAATGTTAATTCTTGTATCTTAGACAGATGGAGCAAAATGTGGAAACCCCTTGATTTACTTCATTCTCAGCCAAGTTATCATTGTTTGTCCATAGGCGTACGACCTGGGGGGGGGGGGGCGCCCCCCCCCCCATTTTGGGCACCAAATGCTGGGAAAATTTGGGCACACAATTGTACTTTGTAAAAGTTGTATAAAAAATAGTGTGTTCTTGAATGTGTCCAATTTAACAGCGAATTTAAATTCAGAGTGTCTATAGTTAGGCAATTAAATAGAAATCTGAAGACTCATACCCTCTATTGTTTGGAGTACAGTAAGCCACGAGTTACAGTTACATAAACAACTGTTTTTAGTTGTGTATATTACAAGTTAATAAAATTTAGTTCTCTTTTAGTAATACTATTTATAACAGCGTAAGCATTTTTCATAAATCCCGGTTTTCTCATATTCTAGTAGTAAATTTATTTTATATTTTCTATCTATCAGGAAAATGGGTACAGAAAATCTGCAGACGCCTGCAAGAATCGCATAAAGAATATGAAGCATTCTTATAAAAAAAATAAAGGACCACAACAATAAAAGTGGGAGTGGCAAGAAAACTAGCAAGTTTTTTGACGCTATGGATAAAATATTAGGAACCAGACCCGCTACCCGTCCAACACATATTCTGGAGACAAGTATTAATTCAGGTAAGCGAACATGTTATTGTTATTATATTGTCAGGAGCAAGACTAAATCGATGCGATAGTTGGCAGGCAATATAAGCCTACAAACATGGGATCAAACTCACATATACACACAAAACAAATTAAATCAAATTTTTTTGCATAATAGCCATTGGAGAATTAGTGTTTTAAAATCAAAACTTATGGAAATTATATAATGGTATTTTTTTTTATTTTTATAGAAACACAAGATTTGGATGATTTTGATGATGATGATAATGATGAGGAACCAACAAGAGTCAATTTGGAAAATGAAGAAAATGAGCCTACAGAAACCGTCCTCCGTAAACAGCCAGAAAAAAAAGGTTCAGTTGCTATTTATTCTAAATGGTTATCAATATTTGAAAAGAGTACAACACTGGAGCTGCTTTCTGTCTAAGAACGTGGTAAACCGGTCACTAATTCCTTCTGTGATTCAATATAAATTTTAAAAAATGCTAGAATAACATCCCACTGAAAACTAGCTGTACGTATAGATGAGTGTTGTGCAGGACAAATGGTATGTTTACTGGTTATAAAGTACACGGAACATTTGATTTTGTATCCCAATCAAATTAGAAAATGAAATGAAATGGGGTTTAATGTCCTACTCTTCTGCACCTAACCTGGGCTAATTGAAGACGGGCATACGCCATACAGTGTGCTATGAGGGAAATTTTGCCCGGGCAGCGGCGCTACGGCCTACTCTTATATCGAATTCCAACTGCCAAGGGATCTTTTAAGTGCACGCCAATGTGTACACTGGACCTCGGTTTTTCGTCCCATCCGAATGACTAGGCAGCTGTCCTTGTCAGGCCCTCCGTTCTGCATCACTGACAAAGGGAAACCACGCCGGAAAATCGAGATGAACTTTCTCGGCCAATGCAGGGATCGAACACCCGACCTCCAGGCTAGCGAGCCAGCGTCTTACCCACTTAGCCACGTGATCCCCCCAATCAAATTAGAAATTATAGGTGTTCAAAAAAGTCATACCTGTGACAACGCCCTTAACTACTTTATATAGCTATTATTTACCTAAAGAATTTTGTTTATGATTTTAATACATAATAAGATCGGATTCAAAATAGTGTAGCCATGAATAGGTAAAACAAAACAGAAGAGTGACTTAATAAGGTGTATACCTATATGGAAATAAAATGCAGGACTTGAAATGTTCTCTGACAGGTCTGACAGGTAGTAAGTAGGTGGACTAAATTTACTAATGTTCAGGAAATTGACTCCAGACCACAATAGGCCTACTCATTATGATGTCACATTTATTTAATTATTCCTTTACAATATGGTTTCTTTTGGTACATGCCTGACCTCCAGGGACAGAACCACGCCCAATTATTGTATAAGAACTTTAACACACCATCCACACAAGTTTTCATCTATAGCATTTTGAAGTATCTACACAGAAGTACATGTGTAACGGCACCATGGTAAATATTGTGGTTGTTTTTGGATAATTAAGAGTGACAGGTTAGTTACTGAAGGGATATTTCGAGGCCCGAATTGTCAATCATTGTTCATTTATTTAAACATTAAAGAGTTATTTTATTTACTTACAGGACCAGAAAAGAAAAAAAGAAACAGAGAGGATATAATTCAACGTGTTCTGAATGAGACAACAACCAGCTTTATAAATTATCAAAGAGAACAAGAAAGATCATATTTTGAATTCGAAGAAAAAAGAATGAGAATGGAGGCAGATTCATAGAGACTTAGAAAAGAGCAGAGACGGGAGGATCGACTTAGAGCTGAGGAACAACGACGCGAGGATAGGGAAAGAGATAGGCAACATGAATTAAAATTATGGAGTTTGTTTGCCAATCAGGGATTTCAGCAGCATCAATTTTCTCAACAACAAAATGGACATGTTCCGCAGCCACAATTTTTACAAGGAGCTAATGGACACACATATACAAATTTATAAAACCATATTATTTTCAAGACCTATCATTTTGTGCCAAAAGTTCTGCTATGTAGAGCATTTATTTTCATTGATAACAGTTAATTTTTGTTTGTAGAAATACATAGTTTTATTTATCATTCCATTGTGCCAAGGCTAGAGTTTTAATAAATTAATTTCCATGTTTTAATTATTAATATCCATATCATTTAACTTAATGTATCATGAAGCTGAATCATATTATTTTCAAGATATACCATTTTGTGCCAAAATATCTGACATGTAGCGCAATTATTGTCATTGATAACAGTTTATTTTTGTTTCTACAAATACATGAATTTTATTTGTCATTCCATTTTACCATGGCTCAAGTTTTAATAAATTTATTTCCATGTTTTAATTATTAATATCCATATCATTATCAAATGTGTCATGAAGCTGATATATGTACTTGGTTGTGAAAGTTAACTGTAGTTGTAACACGTTTTATGTGATTTCAGTTTTTATGAATTTAAATTACCAGTATGAGATTAATTGTTTCAATGGCATTTAGCAATTGAACTGGGAATACACAGGACAATCCTTGTTTATATCTAAAGCAAAGTTTTGACTTGGCTTCTTATCGTTATCAAATAATGCGAAACGGTATGAGGTGGGTGTTTTCTTCTTTGTAAGTCAATTGATAAGCCCCTAATAAGAACAAAACAGTCTGTTATGTTTTCAAAAATGGTAAATTCTCTTTTATTTAATACATTAATTGAAAGACATAAATTAAAAATTGATCAATAACTTTATAGTGTAGGCTTGTACAGTGGACTCGGAATATTCCGAATTATTAGACCAATCTGGGGACCCCCGTTAAATGATTTCTGTTGAATTAACATTGGATAATCCGGCCTTCAATCAGTGGGTGTTAGCCGACAAGCAATCAATTATCGGTGAGCTTAAAGTATGTGTCAGTCTTTGTTAATAAAACCTTGATAATTTTATAATTTCTTGTAAGAGAGTGCTTGGTATTTCATTTGATTTTTTCACGTCAAATACAGCAACATTAAATATAAATTGCTGAGATGAAGAATCACTATCATTATAATATTTTGTTCATAACGACGCACAAGTGTTTTGTACGCACCCAAAGTAAAAACATAATAATTTTATATAATAAAGTTTCAAATGTACAGAAAGGTTTATCATATTTTTAAGTTCTGGGTATTCGAAGGTGCATTAAAATAATACTTTGGTATTCGAGGTACAATAATACTTGCGGTTTTGAGACAATTAAGTATTCCGTCATGGTGTATAATCCGGCATTGTATCGGTCCTGTACAATGTTGAAAGTGAAAGAGTCCACTGTATATTTTTAATTACATACACTTCTTCAATGATGGACAACAAAGATGACAATTGGACCTCTTATTATATAATCCAACTCTGGCTTAATGAGATGCATGGATCAAAAATCAAGATGCCAAAAGGTGTCAATTTAAATTCTGTATCCAAATACCTTTAAATTAGTATGTGACTTAGAAATATGCTTGGAATATTTAAATTTGAATGTACCATAATATTACTTTTAAGAAAGAAGATATTGAAAATTTTGGAAACAAATTGAACTCCATAGCAACCATTTGGCCAGAGCTGATCACATATACTATTCAAAAAAAGTAGGGGATATTTGATTTTTAAGTGTTATTAAAGTCACCTAATGAAACTGACGAAGAAACAAATGACAAAATGAAATGAAGTTCACATTCATCGATTTATTCCAAATGATCGTTAGACTAAGTAAGGCACAGACTGACCATTATAAGGGTAAAATGATACCCGGGGTCAAACAGCAAAGTTACCACAGCATCACAACCAAGTCAGTAACGGGTAAATCCTCCTCTGTTTGCCAAACAAGCATTGATCCGACGTGGCATACTCCTAATGAGACGTCTAAGGTCATTTTGGTCCAGATTGTCCCATTCCTGTTGCAACGCAGCAGCAAGTTCTTGGACATTGGCAGGACGTTGTTGACGTTGACGTAACCTCTGTCCAAGCATGTCCCAGACATGCTCGATGGGGGAGAGGTCGGGACTCAGTGCTGGCCAAGGTAATGTGGTGATGTTCTGTTGTTGGAGGTAACCTGTAACGATCCTGGCCCTGTGACATCTTGCGTTGTCATCCTGGAAGATGAAACGGCGGCCATGACGTCGTGCGAACGGCACAACATGGACTGCCAAGATGTTGTCCCGGTAGTACTGGCCTGTAACACGCCCTGCAACAACATGTAAAGCCGTTCTTCCAGCAACAGTGATGCCTCCCCACACCATAACAGAACCACCCCCAAATCAATCATGTCTGATGACGTTAACGTCTTGGAAGCGCTCGTTTCGACGACGCCACACCCTCCTACGTCTGTCCAAAAAATCAACAGTGAACCTTGACTCTATCTGAAAACATCACATTGCTCCAGCGTCGATTATCCCAGTGTTGACGATCCCTACACCAACGACGTCTTGCCTGAATGTGATGATCTCTCAAACAAGGGATCACGCGAGGACGTCGGGCGCGAAGGTGACCCCTGTGCAGTCGATTCCGAATCGTCTGGCCACTCACTCTCACACCAGTGTCTGTTTGAAGACGAGCGCTGATCTGATTTGCTGTGATGACACGATTTCTCAAGGCCAAGGTACGGATAAATCGATCCTGGGCTTGAGTTGTCGCCCTTAGTCGACCTGAGCGTGGTCTGTCCTGTACAGATTGTGTATCACGGTATCTGGACCATAGCCTGCTTATGACAGACTGAGAAACATTCATCGTCCGCGCCACAACCGCCTGTGTTGTGCCGATCTGTAGCATGCCAAGGGCACGTAACCTTTCATTTTGGGTAAGCCGACGCATATCAAAATTTGTTTTCTGGTCACTAAAACAATTAAACTGATGTTTCCACCCTGGAATTCAATGCCACAATGACTGTAATATTCAAAGTCAGAGTCGTGCAAATCTTGGGTTGGACCCCCATGATGATCCCAAGCATCACCTGCATTCCATGCGGTAGCTATTGGTGCGTTTGGGCGTCACATGT